CGTCCCGGCCGGGAGAGCAGGGACACCGCAGCGGCCGCTGACCCTTGCAGCAGAGCGTTCCCGGCACTCTTCCCCCACTTGGCGTTAGTATTTCTCATCCACCTCACTTTGTCTGCTTCTCCTTCCCCATCAGGTTAGTCAGACCCCAGGAAGAAGGCGCTGTAGTAATTTTACCTTTTACCCGCACAGCCTCCACGGGAGTCCCCTGACAGATGCAGGCTTGGCCCTCCTCAACCCTGCTCTCTCCATCCACCCCTCGCTGGTGGCTCTGGATCTAGGAGACTGCATGCTGGGTGATGAAGGCATCAACCTTATCTGTGGGCTCCTGCCACCTGATGGGGCCAAGTCTGGTAAGCACCAGGGGCCGTGGGCTGAAGGGTGACCGGTGGAGCTTTCACACAGATGCATGCGGCAGTAAATCCTCAGCCCAGGAGGAGGCAGGCTCTATCGTTTGCCTGGGCTGAGGAATTTCTTTCCCCCAACTTAAGTAAAGCAGAAAAGCCAAGCAGTAGAGGAATGGTTCCTCTGGGCACACATGGGATTTCTGCTATTGATCCGTCCTGCTGGCGGTTCAGAGCTCAGGGACCAACAGGTTGCTTCTGGTTCCTGTCAGAGCATTTGAAACTGGAGGAGGGGACAGCTTGGACTTTGAATTTATTATTTTGCATTTGTGTGTTGATAATGACTGTAAATCAATATATTGTGTGCCCCCACCTCAGCATTTGGTCTTATTATCAGTGCCTGGGAATGGTCCAAGCTTGTGGGTGCATTCTGTGAGTGTGTAGCTGCATGGTCACAGCCTTTGTGCCAAGACTCGGGTTTTTGCAGGGAATGATCTTTGGTGTTGTGAGACCAGTGAGCCAGTTCAGCTGAGAGCTGGCATGTGCTGAGGTAATACCACTCCTTTCTCCCAACTCTCAAAGAGCTTTCCACCCCTTCCCAGCCCCTTCTTGTCTGTGTGCTCACACTGCCACTGATGCTGTTATCTCTGCTGGCCACCTCTCCCAGGTGCAGGCTTGAGAGCCTACGGTCCTTGTTATCCCCTCTCCAACCTGCCCCCTCATGCCATCTTCTTCACCTGGTCTGTCATCTCACACACCCCTTACTTGTTTCCATTGTGTTTGCTATTTAGGGCAATCAGGGCACATGTATTGCCCTAGTGAAAAGGTTTGCTATTTAGGGCAATCAGGGCACAGGTTGGGAGAGCAGATAAATGGGGCAGTCACAGCATGGGTAAATGAAGGGCTACTGCTGAAGGCAGTGAAATATTTCCCTGATCACTGAAATACGTGATGACAGTTGTCAGAGAAAACCAAACCCTTAAGCCCAACAGAGTACAGGGGAGTGTTCTACAGCTGTTCTGGTGAGCTGAACTAGTTCTCCTAAGACTGCTATGGTGATCCCTAAGGCTCTGGTTTGGCTTCTTTCTCTTCTCTAGGCCTCAAAGAGCTAACACTGAGCGCCAACCCAGGCATCACAAGCAAAGGCTGGGGACGCCTGGCCATTGCAGTGGCTCACAGCTCACAGCTCCGCGTGCTGAACCTGGACTACAACCCCCTAGGTAAGCTAGGGGCCAGGGGGAGGAGCAGGGCATGCTGCACTCCTGCTTTTCAGTGTTTGTGTGATTGGCACAGGTGGGTGCTCTAGAAAGGCAGTAGAGTCTCAACATCAGGATAGGGTGGTTTCTTACATAGGTGCCTTCTGATCCCC